TTGGATGATTTTTAGCAATAAAAATTAATGTATGGCACAAATGACATATATATTCCATATCTAATATTTCCTTAAAGGGGTCATAGGATGCCCATTTTCCAGTTGATATGATTCTTTAGGGTCTTAATGAAAAGTCTGTAACATAGTTTGGTTAAAAATTTTCAATGGTAGTGTAAAAAACACCTTTTTTACCCGGTCAAAAACAGCTCTTTTCAGATAAAGCCGTTTTTGTAGCATTTTCCTTTAAATGTTAATGAGCTATGCTTGTACGCACAATCTTCCCCTGACTGGGATCTATAAAGGGATTTTTGCGCAGGTTCTGGCGTACCTATCTATCATTTGTGCTTACGTACACTTTTAGGATGAAATCTACGGAAAGTTTTATAAATGAGACCCCTGGTGGTTCCGAGTCCAGTGGTCCTAAGTCCGGTTGACCCAGAGCACACGCTCTCCCTGTAAAGGCCACAGAGCTGGGCTGCTAGCTCTCAATGTCATGACCACAGAGGCCTTCCTTGAGCAGCCCACTCTACCTGTCTCTGCCACGGAGGCCATTCCCGAGCAGCAAGCTCTCACTGCCGCAGCCACGGATACTACTCCCCTAGTCCAGGAGCCTCCAGAATCCACTCCAGTGTCAGCTTCAGTCTCAGAGCCTAGATGTTCACTTCAGAGTCCAGAGTCTGTGTTATCTCCCAAAAATGAGTTTTTGCAGGGTGGGATGTCTGCATAATGGGATTGCTTTCTCTGCTATATATGTGATGCTTTCTTAGAAATGAGCCAAAACAAGTTTTTTTTTTTTAACATTTTGGAACAGTCTTCATATTGAGAGTGAGCCTAATATGCAATGCTATATAGCTTAATGGCCACGTTGGCAGTAAAATAGGTTTTGGATTAGAGCCATATTGTTATACTTTTGCAATGTAGAATAAAGTTTCTTAAATCTTGAATCAGAGAGAATGTTTTAGAATTCCACTCTTTCATTCCTTTATGCTCCGATCAGAATGTTCTTAGTTGCACAGTCAAGTAAAATTATTACGATAAAACAAAGACAGTCACATTGTGATAAAATCATAGGATGAAAAGCATGGGATTAAAGAAGAGGTGGAGATAATGTTTGAATATATGTCTTATATCAGTCTAAGGTAATCGGTTTCAAAGCTATCTCTGCCTTTGAAGACTTAATTATGATCTGACAACCAGATGAGAGATGTTTTTGTATCTGACGTCTTACTGCTTTGAATCATCATTCACACAGAGACCAAAAGAAAGCAAGTGGGAGAAGAAAAGAAAAGATGGTACATGGAGGTTGTAGATGGAAAGAAAATGAAGCAAATGGAAAGTGTATACAACCCAGGGGGTCAACAAGTTGCCAGGGGGTCTTTGAAACAATTCTTGATTGACAACTCTAGATCAGGTGATCAATTCCAGCGTCCAATCAAAAAGTGTGATTGATTCATTAAAACTTGGGTCGCGGAGCACTGGCACCCCTGAGGATCTCAAAGGAGCCCACAGGGGGCACAAGCTGAAAGACTTTTTTGACCAGCATCTCATTACTCTCCCTGAGGAGTATTGAGATTTCAGTCTAAAACTCATCTCTCCTGCAGGGCCCACACAACAGATTGTTTTCCTTAAGACTAGCAGATGAAAGCATGAGGATGAAAAGAGAGCTAGTTAGAGCCAAATTATAATGTTCATTTGTGCAAGTGATGTGGAACCTTGAAAGGAAGTTGAGAACATGTTCTGTGTTCTATTTTAAACCTGTCTACAACAATTCTCTGAGAGTTACATGGAAATCCACTTTATCCAATGTTCCCAGGACTTCACTGGATGGTTACATCCCAATTTGCATACTATCCATACTCAGTGAGCCTGCCCCCCTCATGTGTCTCATAATTTACCTTGGCTGCATTATAATGCTTTCCTAATTCAGAATATGATCAAAGATTACATGTGGACGTGTTTGGAGAACTCAGATATTAAAAATATAATATTTTATAGCTTATTTGAATGAAATACGAACAATTAGTCCATTATGCTTAACGAAATTCAAAGATCAAATCTGTCTTTCCTATCACTGTACATCAGGTGACAGACACAATGAATGAATCGTTCATGAGTGACCTACCACTATCTGAGAGTGTTTCACATCTTCAGCATACCACAGAGATACCATAGAAAAGAGAAAATATTTAATTTCAGTCACATAGTAAGAAATAATATTAAACTATCCATTTGTGATTACATATTAAAACTAATGAAAAATTAATGACTGTGCAAAACTTTGCAAATAGTCAGAAAACATTTTTATTTATTTATTTTTTTGCTTTTATAAATTAAGCATTTGTTCATGGTTTTGCAGTACCCAATCTAAAGTCGAAAATATTCATCATTTGTAAATGTTTATAAACTTGATCATTTAGTATTTTTATGGGCATTGGACTTTAACTGCTGTAACAACTTTTGTCTACAGGGTGGTTAGTTAAGTTTAGCTAAATGCTTGCAAAAGACATAACACATATTGAAATTTGGGTGCAAGACATGTTTTTATTGCCTCAACACTTATATTAGCATACTACTGTAGGCCTATATCATTAAACAGGATATTCCTTGAATCATACATCAAAAGAAGAAAACAAATCAATTTTTAAAAAAAATACTTGATAATATTCAAAACAATGTTATAAACAGATCCGTGTTCCTTTATATAATAAAATTGAATCTTGTACTCTTTTGACCCCTTAATCAATCCTAAACCTACCCATAGGCCTACCAGCAAACCTGTCCCTAACCTTGGCTTGCCCTTATCACACCTCAATAGCAGCAAAAGTGTTGTGCATTAACACAAGCTTTTAATAATTTTATAACATCTGTTAAAATCATTTGAAGATTTTCAAGAAGTACATGATCATATGAAGTTTAATGACATATGAAGAGTTCATTTGCAAAACCGATAAACACCACTTAAAAAAAAAAGAGCTGATTGCAGAGCATTATTCTCCACATATAGCGCGATCTGAACCCTAAACACGTTTTGTCAAAAAAGCTGGGTTTGTCCATTTTCAAGGCATCGCGAGTTCACATTTTACTGCAGAAGCCGACAAGCGCCCTTGTCAATAGTATGCAGCTGCAGGCCCGCAGCACCAGCAGTTTCAGAACCGCAGCCACAGAATCGGAAGTGAGGGGAGGAGCTTACGTTCTTAACAGAGTAGCGCCACCTTACGGGTTTTAAGGGGTAATTTGCTTTTATTACACACGATATGTCATACTTTATGTGTGCATTTTATAATGATATATTAAGCATTTTATAAACATTAATCTTGTGTAATTTAGTTGTAGGCCTACACAGTTATTCGTTTCATTGTATTATGCGAGTTATTTCCTGTTTGTGATATTAAAAATAATATTTGAAACTTCTGGGCATTTTATATGAAAGATACTTTAATCACAATATTCAAAATAAATGAATAAATAAACTCCAAAGTCAAGAACACGTGCATCATACATTTTTCTATATGAAAACTAAAACATTTCAATAAAACACACACACACACACACACACAAACAGCAGCATAATTTTACAAGTAACATTCAAAATGTACACAATAATTAAATTGAAGTTTATAAAATGAACAATTCACTATTAAGCCCATTTTGTCATGACAATCCTGCATGAAAATTTACAAAATGAACAATTCATTCTTGGGCACATTTTGTCATGACAATCTAGCATAAATTCAAATTAAAATGTATCAAACATTTACATTTAGATTTAATCATTTAGCAGACGCTTTTATCCAAAGCGACTTACAAATGAGAACAATAGAAGCAATCAGACCAACGAGAGAACAACAACAGTATACAAGTGCCATGACAAGTCTCAGTTAGTCTAGCACAGTACACGTAGCTAGGTTATTATTATAATTTTTTTTTAGTAATAGAATGGAATAGGTAAGTGCTAGTATTAGTTGGTCAGGTGCTGGCGAAAAAGATGTGTCTTTAGATGTTTTTTGAAAATGGCTAAAGACTCAGCTGTTCGAATTGAGATCGGGAGGTCATTCCACCATTTGGGGACAGTCCAGGGAAAGGTCTGTGAGAGTGATTTTGAGCCTCTTTGGGATGGCACCACAAGGCGCCGTTCACTTGCAGAACGCAAGCTTCTGAAGGGCGCATCAGTCTGTACTAGCGGGTTTAGGTATATTGGTGCAATTACATATTGCACCAATATAAACGGAAATTACATATAAAGAAATTACATTAAAAGACGTACTTAAGGAATAGAACAGCGCAGAATAGAATAGGTAAGTGGTAGTATTAGTTGGTCAGGTGCTGGCGAAAAAGATGTGTCTTTAGATGTTTTTTGAAAATGGCTAAAGACTCAGCTGTTCGAACTGAGATCGGGAGGTCATTCCACCAGCTGGGCACAATCCAGGAAAAGGTCCGTGAGAGTGATTTTGAGCCTCTTTGGGATAGCACCACAAGGCGCCGTTCATTTGCAGAACACAAGCTTCTGGAGGGCGCATAGATTTGAACTAGTGAGTTTAGGTATATTGGTGCAGCGCCAGTGGTTGTCTTGTAGGCAAGCATATTTATAAATGTTCTGTTCCAGGAGATTGTTGAGGGCCATTATATATATATATATAATAGATATAGATAGTTAGTTAGACAGACAGACAGACAGAGAGATAGATAGACAGACAGACAGACAGCTAGATAGATAGATAGATAGATAGATAGATAGATAGATAGATTTGAGACATACCTCACAAGCATAGCCTGTTATCCAATTGGAAGGGCCTCTTGTAGGGTTTCTGCACTGTAATATACATGTATCTTGATCATTTTAAATTGGTCAGAAGGAGGTGCAAATGTAATGGTAGGCTGAAGGAAATGTCGGAAGGGCCTCTTGTAGGGTTTCTGCACTGTAATATACATGTATCTTGATCATTTTAAATTGGTCAGAAGGAGGTGCAAATGTAATGGTAGGCTGAAGGAAATGTCCAGTACCTTTCATAAAAAACTCCAAAGTTCTCCAGAAGAATAAGAGTCCACCATCTCCGTATGATTGGAATGTCACACTGGAAGACACAAACATAGAGAAATCTTTAAATGTCAACTGTTACAACATCATAAAGGTCAATTACTTTAACTGATAACTACTTACAGATGTAAAATCAAAGGGTGCTCCCAAGACAAGATGTACTGGAAAACAACAAAAAAAATAAGAATATTCTCCCTGTAAATGGCACAAAAAAAACCTTACTTGTTCCTTATTTAACAACTAAATAATCACACCAATAATTGGTTGCAAAAATGTATAGTATAGCCTAAAATAAATAAATAAGTACACATGTAAACTATTATGCAATAATATATTGTGAGTACATATATTAAGCAAACAACTCAAGATATTCATACCTCCACAGACAACTGCCTTGTTAAGTGGATTTGAAGATGACTTATTAATTTGACCAGTTTGGCTGGCTTAAACATGCGTATTATGGTTATTTTCAAATATATTCTGATGCATCGAAAAATGTGGAAGACAAAGTAGGTGTGGCATTCAGTATCCCAGAATTTAATGTCAAAGTCAGTAAAAGAATCACAGATAATTTGTCAATTTACACTGGTGAAATGATTGCAATTTTACTGGCATTGCAATGGGTGGAGGAAAATAAGCCAATGCGGACACTCATATGTTCTGATTCAAGTTCATCTTTAATTACAATTAAAACATGTCATTCAGAGAGCAGAGCAGATATAATGATTGAGATTCTTCAAACAATATATAGGATCCAGAGAGCATGTTATAATGAAGTGTCCAAGATACGGAACGGAAAAAAAGATACTGATTGATGTCTTCAAGGAAAATAAAGAAAAACTTAATTTGATGAACATTTTGGGGAATAAATCAGGGGATAAAAACTCAATTTTTAATGCGTTATTTAAAGGACACAGGATTATATAATAGATGCTTGTCATGTGACACAGCAGCCACAATAGCACTGTATAACTGATATAGGCTTATGTTTTATTTTATTTTTTCCTTTTTATTTGAAGTATTTCCAAACGTGTTAACTATAACAGGAAATATCTCGATTCTCAAACATATGTAAGTAAATGCGTTTTGCACCAGATTGTTATTTGATCTATAATGGGTGATGGGCAAAGTAGAGTAATAGTGTAACCTATTAACTACACATAAAGACCCGACTTTTTACTTAAGTACCAGATGTCATGCTTTAAAATATTTTTAATACGACTGACTTTGTATTTAATGTGAATTTAATAACAAAATTGTGAGTTACTGACATTTTCATTTTACATAGAGCAAAGAACATTTACATCATTAAAGAACATTTTCACTTAAGACTAGCCAGAGTTCAGGCACTCTCAAAAACTCCCATTTAAATCACTGAAGCTGTTTACACTGTGAAATGAATATCTTACTTACATTCGTACGCACATTTGCACTTTGTTGTTTATAATGTAAGTATTTTTGAAACCAGAGATGGTCTTATTATCGGTAGATATACCTGGGCTGCGTTCAGCCCCGACAAAACGGTGCAAAGCGTTTTTTTAAACGGAAACGGTTGAAAACACCCTGTTCTGATGACGCAAGAGTTGCAACTATGCAGCTGAGAAGGCCATTATTTGTGTTCTTTTTGAAGAATTTTCGGAGCCCGACGAAATCGGTATAAATACGTGTTTAATACTGCAAAATATGCTCGATGTTACAGTCACTGCCCTTGCACTCCAGAATAAAAGAGAACATCCCAATCGAGTGAAGGGATTTGTGGAAACTGTGGTTCCTAATTATTGTGATCAACATTTGCCTCGCATTTCAGGATGAAAAGACAAACATTTCAGGTGAAGGACAATCCACTTCTTACCTCCGAGACTGTGTTATGATCTATATGGCCTTATTATTTTTATTGTGAGTATTAGGCTTATCATTATTGCTGATCACTGTTGTTGTGCTATGGACACGCATATGTTCAAATGTGAGATTCCATATTTGTCTTACATCATTATTGCTGAATTCACAGCAGTCTTTTATTTTATATGCTGGACTTTGTGGAGTCATTTATAAAAAATAAAAAAAATTGTCAGATATATATTTCTCCTTATTTTCCCCATAGAAATGAATTTGTAATTAACTATGGTGACCAAGTTTTTTTCCCCCACAATGAGCATTCTTTTCTGGCTGTATCCATATACAGTGTGTCTAGATCATGGAACAGTCCTTCATCTATCAAACACTGTTTGATTCTTTGAATTAGGGTTTACCTAAATATATGGATGGTTTCTGTTGATAATAGAAATACATTTATGCATTTGTATTTCAGTTTTTAGGACTATAGGGTTGCACGATTATGACAAAAATCATAATTGTCGATTATTCCCTTGAAATTGTAATTGCGATTATTAATTACGATTATCACAATTTACATTGAATGATGTTTATACCATTGTTTGATGCTACTGAATGCCGTATTTATATAAGAAAATAAACAAGCTGAAAACACTCTAACTGAAAAACCTTTAGTGCTTTTCTATAGTATTAAGCCTCAAATGTCAGATATACATTGGATTGGTTTCTTCTTTAATGTATAAAAAAAGTAAAAATATGAATGGTATTATAATGTTATACTAAAACTAAAACAATGGAAAAACCCTTAAGATAACATGTAGAAAGAAAAAAACTTCTTAAGCGTGCAGAATAACATAAGTGGACTTTGAACGATTAATTGGCGCTTTGAACGATTACGTAATTGTGGCATCCATAATTGTAATCGCAATTCTGATTTTAATAAGCTGATAGAAGCATGCACACATTATAAATGACAGTGATTCTCAGGTCAGTATTCGATTATTTCCGTTGTCAGATGAGGATTGATCAATAATAGTATACTGGAACACAGCACCCTGCTGAAAAAAACAATAAAACCATCTCAGAAAATTCTAATGGTTTCCACTACAAATACCATTACAAACGTTACAAACCATCAACTTTTAATCATTAAAACTAGGGATGCAAAAAAAATTTTTTATATCATATCCGATATGCCGATATTTTTCAACTCATTTTGGCCGATAGCCGATGTATTTCCTTTTGTTTGGAAACAACACCAAGTCTCTCCTGTGCGGAAATTATAAACACATTACTTTTTAATAGATCGTAGGAGACATCTTGAAGTGCTACTTGCTGATTAAAGACCTTGTGAAGTAATCCCAGAAGGTGCTCTTTGGTTGGGTTT